GCCTCCCTCCTCCGCCACGATTCGGTGTCGCCGCGCCAATCGAGCAAACGTCGCTCTCCGACTTCCTTTCCTTTTGCTGCTGCTGCTGCTGTTGCGGCGAGTACTTCATCACTGTGTATCATTATTGGCAACAATTAATCAGGATTTCCCTTTCTAATTCGATTCAAACTGAGATACAACCATGGGAATTAAGCGCCCCACTTTTTCATGCAGAAACTCTACGCACGCGGAAACAACGAAGCGCCGAACGAAGCATTTCACTTGTTTCAATCAAACGCGCTAATTATCCTCGCTCTTAAACCGAAACTTATTTTCGTCGCGTGTTCATTATCTTTTAAAATGAAGTTTCGATCGTGTAACGAGATTGTAATTTTATGGAATTATTCGTTGAAATAAAAATCCACTTAAACTTCCGATCAATTCAATCCAGTTCAATGCGAGTGAATTATTTTCCATTCAATCGACTTAACGATCAACGATAATCCTATCAGATAATTAAATGGTAATTAAATGAAGTAAATTCGAATAATATCATTTTTGACCAAGTAGTGTATTATTCCGAGTTTTAATGAAAATGGATAATTTTATTCATTAATAAAGAGAATGCTTTTAAAGAAAAAAGTTCCTAGTTTATTATAATTATAAAAATATGATTAAAATATATAGTTCTGAAACTAATTTATGATAAAAAACGCGAAGGTAGACTAACGATTTTATGACCGCAAAATGTAACTAGTATGGTTAAGTAATAAGATTTTCCGTATGTCACTGCACTACTTTTTTTCTCACGGCTAACGGTGAAATTCCTTTCACTGGCAAATCCTCTTTTGTTTAAGAAAGCTGTTTTACGCAACGGAGAGAGCGTTACGATCATACGAATGAGTTGTATACGTGAAAACGAAAGCATTATTAAATTTCCTATTTGTCTTACATCACGAAAAAATATTCGATTTCTTCAAAATCTCATTGCTTTTTTACTCAAATGTCATATTAACCTTGACTATGTTTATTCGCGTTAAACTCTCACTCGGTCATGGTCAAAGATCCATTACGTGTGCATTGCAAAATGCGCTGATAATAATTGAACGGATATGTTCAAATTTCAAAATATTCAATAAATGAGATAACGGAAAATAAAGTGAAAAAAAAAAACAAGCTAGATATACAATATAAACAATAATCGTTATTAAATATAAAAAAAAAAGTTCTATTACAACTTTTCTCTGTTATGATATACTTATTTTATCTTTTTATTTTTATAATTATATGTATTACAAGTTTCTTTCTACATAAATCAAATATATAATCTATATAATATATAATATTTCTAAATGTAAAATATCATTAATGCATCTATAAATGTATGTATGTGTGTGTGTGTAATATGTGTAATCAATGAATGATTAAGTAAAAAAAAATTTTTGTAGGTTTATCAGTATCCATGTTTCGAGGACTTTTTCCAAGATTCTACCAGTAGGTGTATAGTGGGCGTTTCAAATGTATTCTGCTTTTAGTAAAGCGCACGCGCCTCTTTCGGTCAGCTGATTCCCTAGACCTACTTTTTGCCCGATGATGCAGGCTACAAATAGATATAGTCACGAATACTCGTGTGTGTAAATGGATATGTGTATAAGTACTTCTTGTTCTGTTGTATATGTATATATAGCTATATACTTTAGGAAACATGTATGCCCTAAATCATGCTCTTTGCTTGAGGCCATTCTCAGACATTTGAAAAACTAAAAGTATAAAATGCGTTTTGCTCTATGATCGTAAAATTTCTTGAACATCACGTCAAATTTCTATTAAATATTACGTTAAAATTTATTATAAATTATAATCATTTAATTGAATAAAAATAATTTGTGATTATAATTGGTAAATAAACAAATAAAGAAAGAAACATTTATTAAATAAAAAAATTAAAATATAATTAGCTTTAAATAAATAAAATTTTTATCGATAATATGTTCAACGTATTGTATCATTTTTAATTATATTATTTATATGCATAAACTACAACTTTTATTAATAATAAAATTATATGGATAATATATAGAGATGATACGTTTGATCAAATCAAGATAGATTTTCATCATGGTATTCGAAAAAAACCGTTACATGAATGAATAAATCGTTTTCGAAACTTGCTGTGAACAAGTCACGCAATGATTACAGCACTATTGTTTTTCTAAGGAGTAGACAAATATTTTAATATATGTAAAACTTGGAAACAAAATTCTATAAAATGATAAGTATAAAAATACATATTGAGATTTTTCTGCAATGCTTGCATATTTGGAAGAGTCCAAACAAGGTTTTTAATGATATACATTTTTGTGATATTTTACGTTATAATTTTTAAAAAATAATATCATTTATTCTATGCAAAAGCGCGGCAATTTACTTGTCATTGTTGTCACTATACATTCTAACAATATAAAACATATATAAAGAATTAGAACTATAAAATATTTTTAAAAAATAATCAATTACATAAACATGATATCAAGGCGCGATAAAAAAATGAGTTTGATACATACCTGCGTGAATTTTATTCAATTCCTAATTCCCCACGAGGAGGTAAACGCGAAAACGGCTCTACTTTGTTACAAACCGTTCTACACTGGTTCGAGGTGCTTCGTATAGTGTTCTGCGGAGCTGTATTCGTGTGACAAGAGGCAAAGATGAAAAGTAAGAAGGAAAGAGAACAAGAGATAGAGATAGAGAGATTGTTTTCTTCTCACTCTGTTTCGTGAGATGGATGGAGAAGTGGGTACACGTCGACGCGATCGTTTCGACGATAAAGAGAATTGGTGGGGATATTCGTCTTCTTGGTTATGTTCTGCAGCGCCGGCGCTGCATCGACCCATCCCACACTACCGGTGTGCGTTCGTTTCATAATACCTTCAAAGTATTTGTCTATTTTTCCATTTTTACGCTTCATATTCATATTCACATTCATATTGCTTTATTTAATAAAACTTTTTGAAGATTATTATAATAAGATTAATTTATTTGCCTATATAATATTAAAATTGTATATACATTTATACATACTATATATATATTATATATTATATTAATATATTAATTTCTTATATAATTTTTTTATAAAACATTACTGCGATTATGAAAATACATTGTTCTTTTTCAAGTAATATTTCGAGATACTTTCGTAGTTAAAATAATGTATTATTTTCTCAGTGAAATTATTGAAGAAAAAAAAAATATTATTGTTATTAAAACATTATATATCATGATGAACAAAATATTTACTATATCTATGTATATATATATATATTTTTACATATAAATATTTTCATATGTAATAGTGAAAATAAAAAATAAAAATTTATATATATATATATTTACTTCTTTGATATTTGAATAATAATATTTTAATCAATATTTTCATATATTTATAAATTTATAAAAAAAACTTACCTTCCATTGTTATACCAAGTCGAATAAGTTGTCTGCGGTGAAAACGAAGTAATTGGTGAATTTGTAGAACTAGTATTTACGATTGATTTCGAAGATGAAAGCGAAATATCACTTTCCAATGAACACAATTTATGACATTCTTTGCTAGGTGAAGAATGCCAAGAATATCTCATTTTTTGACACGAAATATTATAATCAGGACTCGAACTTGGAGAATTTGAAACACTTTTTGGACTCTTTGGATTCTTTAAAGTTCCTGAACTAAATACTCGAACCAATTTAAATCTTAAAGAATTCTTTTTGTTTCTCATTATGTGATTATTAATAGCATTTGATATTTTTTCATCACAAGAATTGAAATTATTTTCCATTGTAATTAGAAACTTAACAAAAATAAAAACAACTTACTTTCACGAATTATCGAAACGAAATGCAAATATTTTTAGTTGAAAACTATATAAAATTTTGAATATGGTTTTATTTCCTGGCATTTTTAACCGCATCCTTCCTTGTTCTTATCAAATATAAATACTTATCTAAATTCATTTGAAATGGATTTTAATAATGTTATTTTAATAATGTATAATACAATTAAATGTTTGCAATTATTTATTTTATTTCCATTCATATTTTTTGAATAGAATTTTTCAAATTTTACTATTGACACTATTTTCTCCTTTGTGTAATTAATACAATCTTTTAATACCAGTAAAATTTAGATTCAAATTATTGGCAAGGCGTATCTCTTTATTGCCTTTTTGTACTTTGACGTATTTTTGATGTTAAAAAACTCGTTCTCTGTTAATACAGAGAAAATGAATATTACAAATTCATTGTCGAATCTGTATTTTCATATTCTTGCATTACAATTTAATACTTCATTGAACGATTTTAACAGTTTAGTTCATAAATAAATAATAGTGCACAATCTACATATGGCTCAGCCATCGCGAGAGAGCACCAAAATATCTTCAATGATAAAGCAGAGTTGATTCTAGATAATTCTAGTTCAACTCCTGTCAATGTACATAATTACATGCATGATACACCTACTTATAATTAATAAGTTGTCACTATTCAGACTTTGTAAACGCTCGAGTACCAGACGGAGAATCAATGAATGAGTCAAATGAAATGTATGCAGGGTATCCATGAGGTTTGAAATGATAATTAGTACTAAATCCTCTTTACCCGCTGTACACGTCTAGCGTGCTTTATCACTTTTGAAAGATATTAAGCTTATTTTGAAGCTTGTTCGATATATGCAATTAAATCAGCACGTTCTTGCGGTTTCTTCAAACCAGCAAACACCATTTTTGTACCAGGAATGTATTTTTTTGGATTTTCAAGGTATTCGAATAAAGTGTCCTTATTCCAAGTAATACCTAAAATAATATTCATAATATAGCTTAAATATTTTTAAAAAATTGTATATTATATTAAAAAATATTTTAATAAAAGATATTCCTTTATTTACCTTTTTGTTTATTCGCATCTGTGTAGCTATAACCAGGTGCTTGACCAGTTTTCCTACCATATACTCCATAAAGATTAGGTCCTACTTTGTGTTTACCACCAGATTCAATTGTATGACATTGTGCACATTTTTGTACAAAAATCTAATAAAAAAAGAAATCTAATGTGAAATAGTGAAATACAAATAAATATTAAATTAATATAAAATAATAAATAAAATTATTAAAATAATATATTAATTTTTCAAATATAAAATAAAAATCGTGAAATACTTATTTAATTTGATAGAAATTAAAATATAATATTATCGATATTATATTATCGAACAAATTATTATTATTGTGATCATGTGTATCACAATAATCACATGTATCAACTCTTATGTGTCACGAGATCAAAATTTTATACGCGTTTTCGAATAAAAATTTATATTTACAAAATTGTTTAAATATGTTCAAAATTAAATAATTAAGAATAATATTAAATAGTAATAGAAAATAACAATGTCATTAAAATTATATATTTTTCACTTTTACCTTCTTTCCTTTTTCTGGATCACCAGCAGGAACACCCATTCTTTTCTAATCTGAATAAAATTTATCACATGTAAATTTTTAAAATATAAATAAAATATTAAAATTTTTTTTTTAATTTTTTGTATTTATAAGATATATTTTTAAATTTTGATTCGTTATTTCATGTTACGTAAGCATGAGACACGTGAACAAAAATTAGATTTCGTAATATTATTGCACAAGAAATATATATGTACTAAACTATAAAATTTAATTTAATTTTACTATTATGTATCATGAATTAATGCATATTTCATTTTCTGTTCATTATATGTCAAATAAATTCGATACACAAAACGATAAAAGAAAACGCTATAATTGAAAATTTATTAACATATAATTAGTAATTAAAACTAAAAAAAGCATAATATAATAAGAAAATATTATATATTATAATATAAAAATATTCAATTTTAAAAATACTATGACATTGACATATATAGAATTCGTCTAAAGGTCAAATATACTATTTAAATGCAACAATTCAATCTAATATAAAATTTTTATACATTAATATCTGATACATAAAATTTCATTCTATATTTCATTTTTTATTTATATTAAAAATATAATATTAAAAATTTTAATACATTTTTACCATAAATATATATCGAACATAACTATTAACATAACTCTTAAATATAAAAGAAAATTTATACAATAAAGATATTATTTTACATAAATAAATAATATATAGATGATATAATATTTTACAATACTTTATAATAACTTTTTTAAAAAATATAAAATACTAAAATGTGAATTTTATAAAAAAATATAACGTAATTAAAAATTTATAACCAAATCTATTGATATATCTTTCTATAGTTTTGCAAATTGCAATTAAAATAATAGTTATTAAAAATAAGAAATTTTATCAAAAAATTTAGAAATTTTTTATTAATGAAAATATAATAGAAGTTCAATGATGGATATATTACGTAACACATTGATTTTATATTTGAATAAAATAATGGAGAATAATGTGAAAATATAATAAAAATTATTACAATTTCATTAACTATGGATTCTCAAGAACTATAATTCAATTGCACGTGTATAAACGCAATGAATTAAAATTTTTAATTAAATGATTTAATGATTTATGCAATTTTTCAAAAAATCCATAAGAAATATTAATTTAATAAGGACAATGAATAAATTAATCAATATTTTAGAATATTGTTTAAAAAAAAAAGAAAATCGAACTTACTTTAAGTGATTAACACTCGCGCGAGAAAAATTTTTACAGACGTTTATAGCCTGACCGTGAATAGATGCTTCGATCGATGTATAACCACTGATTTCCTCTGAGCATGAATTCAGCGTATTTTAATGGCTGATGCAACAGTTTATGGATATTCGAAATGTTTTCCTAGAGGGCGCTTAAATAAAATTTTAGAGATTCTTCTTTGATTGGTTAAATAATTTGTATAAAATTTAAATTTGGTTAAAATTAATTTTTATTATGTTTAAATGACCATAGATAAATAGTAAAATTTATATATTTATAAATTACAAATTAAATCATGTTTGGTAATTAATTAAATAAAACATATTTTTTCTTATATAATATTATATAATTTTATTGAATCGCGTATGATAAAAATAATATTATAAATTCATTATAAAATTAAAATTTTGTTTTTTTTATTTATATATTTATTTTATAATTTATAAAAATACTGTCAATTTAGAAATAAAATATGTATAATTACATTATATTTCACTAATAATAACTTTATTGATATATATTAAAATGAACAATTTAAATTAGATTGGTTTTCTTATCTAGAGATTTAGTCGAACATATTCTATGATTTTTATACGCGTGCAAGCATTATTAACGAGAATTGTAAATATGAAACGAATTTGGTCTTTTCTGTGAAAGGTAAAAGACAAGAAGTCATGGTAAATGTCACGAAAGGAATTTTAGTTGAATGGTATGTATATAAAATAAAAAGTTAAATAAAATTTTAAATATTTCTATTCTTTGTAATTTATTCTTTGTAATCTAAATCATCAGGAATGTTGAATTGTTTATTAAGATATCCTTCGGATATATCAAATTTGTTTTTACACCAACTTTGAATAGCAAAAATATTATCCGTCCATTTATTAGTAGCTTCTTTATATTCCTGAAAAATAAAAATTAATAAATCAATAAAAGTTTAAAATTTTTAATCTTAATTTTTACAACCTTTGCTTTTTCTACGAGTTTAGCTATAACTTCTGGATCAGCATCACTGAATTTAGTTATTTGTTTTTTCAATTGATCTTCTTTGGCCTTTAATTCTTCTAATTCATGTAATAAAATTTGCCTTTCCTCTGTATCTTCTTTTCCTATCTATATATTTTATTGCAGTAATAAGAAGTATTAAATGAATAGAACCTTTAAATATTTTAATTTTATATTAACTAATTTTTTATAATATTTCATTCTATTATTACCTTTTCTTTTTCACAAGCTTCTTTAAGTTTTTGAAGTTTAAATTCTGCTTCTACTATTTTTTTTGAGGCTTCAGATATTCTTTGTTCTATTGCAGTAATATTTTCTCTGCATAATATATTTATTAATTATTTTAATATTGTATTATTAAAAATATAAATATATAAAATTATATATTTTGTTCCTACCCTGGAAAAGTCCAGAAATATACAGAAGTACCAATCTTTTCTGATCTAACTAATCCATCATCTACTAGAGTTTGAAGTACATCTTTTACTGATTGTGCAATAATACCTTTTTCTTTAGGTGCAATTTTTTCTAATTCTTTTAAAGTAAAAAATTCTTTTTTTTCATAAAATAAATGAAGCATTCTTATACGCTTCTCATCAAGAGTTAATCCTTTCCGCTTAGACATTTTATTTAAATAACTATAATAAAATAATAAATATTAAAAAAAATTATTTGTTGTAATTACAGTGATGCTGCTATGAAGCAATTTCTTTTACATTTAGATGAGACATTTGCTTTGGGACGAAAATTTATTATTCAAGATTTAGATGAAAGACATTTATTTATTTCTGCTGATATCTTAGACACCTTACAAACAAAAGTAGATGATCTTATGGATCAAATATCATTTCCTTTAGCAGAGAAAGGAATATAAATATTAAAATATGTTTTTCTTTACAATACATCATAAAATAGTTTAAGAAATTATATATTCATTGTAAAATAATCAAAAATGGCTGCACGTGAATCTGGTAGAATAAAAGATGCTTATCAAAAAAGAGTGCTTGATGAAGCTGCTCGTAAACGCAGACAAAAGAAAGCATTGGAAGCTTTGGAACAAGATAATTTTCACGATGATCCGCATGCTGATTTAGGTATAATTAATATTAAATAATATTATTAATATTATAATAATAATATTAAATACTTTCTGCAATTCATTTATAAATCCAAATATTATACTTTTCTAATATTTTACAAGTATTATAATTCTTTCAGTAATGAGTAAAAAAGTTCCAAAATTTCAAGAAACTTTAGATAATAGAGGTGGTAGAAGAAAAAAAACCAGATCAGCAGAGTATTATAAGCAACGATTTCGTAAAACATTTGCTCAATTAGTAGAAGAAGATCTTAACATTAATCCAAATCCTCCTAATTATGCATCTGCTCAAGCACCAGTATCAAGATTTCCTGAACGACAGTTTTGTGCAGTTTGTGGATTCCCTAGTAATTACACATGTATTCCTTGTGGTGCTAGATATTGTAGCATGAAATGTTTAGGTACTCATCTTGATACGAGATGTTTAAAATGGACAGCTTAAGAAGTGTAAAGTTATTATGAAGTTAATATGTATTCACAGTATTAAATAAAATTAAATAATTAATAATAAATAATAATAATAATAAACAAAATTAAATATCTTATTTTTTCTATTATAAATGTAATAAGTCTAATATGTGTGAAGAAAAAAACGTTAATAAAATTGTATATTTATACTTTTAATATTTTGTATTTTTTTATATATTAAATTTTTTAATATACAAAATAATATATTAATGATATATTAATAATTATATATTATCAAAAAAGATTAATGAAATTTTTTTCTTCATTTGATTATTTTGCAATATATTCTATATGCAATAGAAAAATGAAAAATTACTATCTCAGAAAGCTATTATTATTAATTCTTTTAAAACTTACCCGTTACAATATATATCATTTAATAGAAATAATTAAATTTTTTTAATATCATTAAATAACACTGTATATTTCTTGTTGCTATGTCGTATTTACAATAACAATTAACATTTAAGTCAAATAGAATAAACTTTATCTTATAATAATATTATTATACAAAAAACTAATTCCTAAATAAAATATTTAGATTATGCTCAGTTAAGTAAAAATACAAAATAAAAAAATGGAATGATATTATAATATCAAAAATTGTTGTTTTAATCAACGAACTAAGGAATATGAAAGGCCGAAATTAAAGCGGGAACGATTTTCATTTTATAAAAACAATAGCCCTCTAGTGGAACTTAGAAGAATCTTCATACTGTGACGAAAGAGACAGCAATAGAAAAGTAGAAAAACGTCTAGTGGAAGGACGTATGATCGTTTATAATTATGTGAAGTTTAAATTCGTGAATGTAATATTTGTTCCGCCTAATACACGGACGGATTAGAACGAAATTGCTACGTGAAAGTGTTACATATTCGAGTATATCTTATTGTGTTGTGGACTGGTTATTGTATAGGTTATAATAATAATAGGCATGTAAAATGTCATAGATATAACAATTGTAAAAGAAGAGTGGCTAATAAATTATTCTCCTGTTATTTCCAATAAATGTACGTATGCCTTATATGAGTTGTATTTTATGATTCTTTCGTATGTTCAAAATATTGATTCCTGTTATAAGTTTCCCCGTATTAATTAATGAATGTGTTAATACCTTAATGTAGATATAGTTAATCAGGTAGAAAATTGTTCAAATTTAATTTAATTATACAAATACTGTCTTTGCTAATATTGCAGTTTCAAAAGACGAACGAATATCCCGATTTGTTGGTAAAAGCGCGAATTTAGAACATTCAGTTTTCGCAAACACATTCTGCCCTCTACCGATCTAGACGAGTACCTTAATACGATGTTTTAAGTATCGCGCGAAATGTTTGTTCCAAATTATTTTGATTTTCGATCATTTAACAAAGTATTGAGAGGCTGCATCTATATATATATGTGTATATATATATATGTCATTCAGTGTGATGTGAATTTTCCTGTGATACGATTAATCCGAAATTTTTAATTGCGGATTTTCGAATGAGAAAGAATAGGTAATCGAAGGT